TTCGGTTAGAGGGATGTTCATAGTTGCTGAAATCACCAGCACACCATTTCCTGTTATCAAAGTACAACACATTTAAGGAAAGGCAATTTATTTTCTGCATAATTAAAGAACCACTGATGCCTCTTGGAAAACTGAAAATATTCTGTTTAAGGAGAGTGGATGGCTCAAAGGATTGTAGTGGGTTAAAGAGGCTTTCATCTCTAGGTTAGGGATTCAGATTCATCCCAGGCTGTTAATAAGCGAAAACAGTTACTGTCTCATGGCTGTCTGAAAGCCTAGGTGAAATGACTTGGGTGATTTCAGTTCAGTTTCCAAGAAACAGGTATGGCTATCACTCTTCTGAACAGTCTTAGCAAAGAAGGAACTATCTTTTCACTGGAGCTAAATTTGAGGTGGGCCTGTAATACAATTTGTCTCCCCAAGCTTGAAGTCCTGTCCACCAAGAACACAGAACTGTTTGCAGAACCTGCATTGGGGAGGGTCAGTAAGATGATTCTTTCACCCTCAAACAAGTTAACTCACTTTATTTTATGTAAAAGAGGGCTATCCTATCATCTTTGGGATATCACTAGCATTCATGGATGTAGTAATGGAGCTGGCAGCCAGAGCTGGGGTCTACGCATCTTCCAGCTTAATTTTTTTCCCCCCAATTCTTGTGAACTTTAAATTATTTTCTATCTTTTTCTCCAATTTTTTAACCACAGAATTCAGATTAATATTTCCAGGTAAATATAAACAGATGTTCAAAATAGCCTTCCATTTCATTCCCCAACATCTGCAAAGATAAAGGACATCTGGTAGAGAAGTACACAATATGACAGCACAAATCAAATTAGATTAAATTAACTAACCTAAAATTGTTCATTTTCTTGCTTAGTCCCTTCTCTTATGTCTGACCCATTATGTACATTTCCGTACCATATTTTTTCTAATTTATGTCTACAAAATCAAAGAAAACAGTCTGTCCTCTCTCTCTCTCCTTCCTCCTTCAACAAGCTCTCTCTCCTTTCCTTTCATTCTTTCCCAAACATGTATTCCATTCCACTGGCCTCTTCCCCCATTACATTTGCTCTAAGCCCTTTCTCCTCAATTGTTCTGGTCCCCTGCATCTTTTGTTCATTGTATTATACTCTTTTGGTACTATTTGCTTCCATGTGCATTCTGTGGTCTCCTCATTGTCTTCCCCATCACTAATAATTGATAATTTTTAAATTATATAATGTTTTCGAAACTAATTAATCAACATAACACCTACCAAATAAGCAAGTTTTATCCCTGTTTTACGACAGGAAAATCAATCTAGATCATAAACTCTTCAAGAAAAGCACTCTTTCTTTCTATGTTTGTATTATAATAAATAATAATAATTTGATATAGTGCTTGTCATCAGAAGATCTCAGAGCACTTCACAAACTTATGTATTTATCCCCATAACAGCCTTGCATGTGCACATACTGCCCAGAAAACTGGGGCCCCAATGTACCGTAAATAAGAAGAAAGGTAGTGACTTAACCAAGGATAACCAGACTCAGGGTCAGAACTAGAAGTAGAGCAAGTAGAGCCTTTTGCTCTCAATTTTATGCTTAGTCCACTGAACCACACTGCTTCTTCACAACAGAGAACAGACCCCTTTTCTTGCAACCAGAGGCCTCATTAGGTGCTCAGCAGAGGAGAGAGCTAGCTCCCAGCAGAGTATGTTTGCAAAGGCCCAAGCACCATCAACAGCAACCTAGGTATTCCCACCCCCAGCAATGCCATTGCCCATGCTTTGCCTGTTATGTGGACAGAAGACTTCAGTCTCCAGGGCTGGCAAAATGGGACATTCCAGGAGCATTAAATTCACACTAAAATAAATTAAGTTGTTCTATGTAGAAACAATTCTACTTATGTCATATATTAAGTTTTCTTTAATTGCTCAGGAATCTTTTCATGAAAATAGATTTTTTATTTTTCCTGAAGTCATCTCTTCCTACTGCTTAATCCTAAAGTCATAATTAGTCACGTTTGTGACATAATAAACATTGTAAAGTCATAAACAGAATGTTATGATTTCAGGTGAGGGACACCCTAAAAGCAAGCTTGCTTTTCAGAAAAAGACCTATTTTACGAAGAGACAAGGATTAAGAGAAATGCATAATACATATAATGGCAAAGGCCCACTGACATTTGCTGGAAAACTGAAAAAATTCTAACATCTACTACTTTTTCTTGAAGGCTGTCTCAATTGTAATTTGAAATCATCTAGAACATGTAGCAAGTTTAATGTACAGCAAATTAGCAAAACAGTTTTTAAATAATTCATTAGCAGTGCAAAGTCAGGACATATTTTCAGGCATAGCAGCATTAAAAATACTCAGTGGCACGCCTAATCCTATAATTGGTAATGATCTGCTGGTAAAGTTTGGCTGAAAACCAGGAACTTTAACAGTGATCCAACATAATGTATACAAACTTTGGGCCCACTCCCAGTATGCACAGAATGCAGGATCAGACCCAACATGTCCCAGTCCTGAAGAGACTTATACAGGTGCTAAACATTAATCATTAAGCACAGGTTCAATAAGAAAAGGAGTACTTGTTAAACCCTGGATTTGTGCTGTTTATGGCCCACCATGATTATCATACACATTATAAGGAGAGTGTTCACTTTAGATAAGCTATTACCAGCAGGAGAGTGGGGTGGGGGGAGGTATTTTTTCATGCTTTGTGTGTATAAAAAGATCTACACTTTCCACAGTATGCATCCGATGAAGTGAGCTGTAGCTCATGAAAGCTTATGCTCAAATAAATTGGTTTTCTCTAAGGTGCCACAAGTACTCCTTTTCTTTTTGCGAATACAGACTAACACGGCTGTTACTCTGAAACCTGTCACAGGTACAATGACACTAGTTTCAGGAGTACAGTTTTTGCAGGATCAGGGCCTTTATTAGGAATCCTCTTGAGGACTATATTTACTCAAAGACCAGAAAATGGAGGTAAACTAAATCTGTAAGTATTTTTGATTAAGTATAAAAAGTTACAGTATTTAGCCAATGACTTCCCTAGCTTAGTCACTGGATATAAAAATGTGGCTCTTAAAGACATATCTTTGTTCTCTGGTCAAACTAATACCCAATTCTATGTGGTAGAATAACAGTCACTGTATTTTATTTTACTAGGTTCATGAGGTCAGAAGAATGACAAATAATGTGGTTTTGATTCTTGTCCCTAGATGTCTCATATTGTTCAATGTTTTTATTTTAACTACTATTCTCACTACACTTTTGCTAATGAAAATATGAATACTATGTAAGTATACCTGAGGTCAGGAAAAAGTGAACCTCTTGAATGTCCTCAGATATGAGAGTAACCATCCAGTAAATAATCTGCATAATATGTAGTGTTTTTGTATAGCATTCAAAACCAGTAGTATTTTTGGAGTGTGTGTGTTGAACTATGAAGGAAAAAGTGCAAGAAAACAAGAGTTGATTCTTAAAATGCTCACACACCATACAAAGACAAAGTTGAGAACATGAAATTTAAACTATGAAAAGTAAATTTTAATATTACGTAGCACCACCCATACCCATGACTATGAATCCTAGATAAACTGTACCACACAAGGAAGGGCCCAATTCTGCTTCCATTCATGTTAATGGCAAAACTTTCATTAACTTCAATGGAAGCAGCAGAAAATTCAGTTCAATGTTAACAGTCAGTAGTAGAAGAACCTACCTCTGCCTATACAGAGAGACAGCCACTCATAAATCTGCACACCACCCTAAAGACTTTTCCTCACTCAGAGAAACTAAATACCAAACAACCATCTAGTCAAGGCTTGATGCCATCAAATCCTAGGGTTATTGAAAAAAGCCTTGCTCACTATTCTGAGAGCTCCTCTGAATTTCAAAATGAAGTTTGTTCCTTATGTATATATGAAAAAATATTTTATAAAAAGGCAGAAGTTAGGATTACAAAGCCTTTCAACGATGGTCAGTGTAGGCAATACAACCTTCTTCTATACATGTAGCTGGAAAATTATTGTCATTTTTGCAACAATCTACTTTTACAAAGGAGGAAAGCCATTTAACCTTGCGTGCATGTAAAAAGCAGCCTAACTATTCAGTTCTCAGGAACAGCCTGAAAGCCTGACCACAATGACTAAATCGTTTTCAATTCTCAAGGGTAACCAATTAACTCTTTCTCAAAAAGCCTAGTTATAACTAAAGGCTACATTTCCTACCACACTCACTGGTCCCCTTCCTCAGTCAGGGAGCCAGTTGGGGAAAGCAGATTACCCTAGCCCCCTGCGGCTTCAGCTGGATCCCCTGCGGATCTCAGCACTTATCCGTCGGGCAAGCAGCAGCGCTCACTGCAGCAGGAGCCAAGGAGCGAGCACACGAGCTTTGAAGTTTTCCCCTCAGAAGTTTGGTCAACTTAGCAGCACCACTAAGCCGCAGGCAGAGGCTGAAATCTCGCCGCCTGGGACACAGCGGGGAGTCTCTGGGGTTCGAGCCACTGCTAAAGGGCTTGGCCAAAGTCAGCAGCCCAGCCCCAGGCTGAGCGGACTCCCGCACACGCGCCACGCCAACCCAGCGAGCTCGGCGGAGGAGACGCCCCTGCGGGGCTCGCCTGCCCCAGGCTCGGAGCACCCCAAGGTCACCCGCCCTAGGGACTCCCCTCACTGCTGGGTCCGGCGGAGGGGACACGCTCCTCACGAGCCTCTCACACCGCGCTCTGCCCGGGCGGGGGATGCTCTTCCCCCTCCCGCTGTGCCCCTGCTCCCGACCCGCCAGCCCCGGCGATATGAGGAACGGGGAGGGGGACCAAGCGCAAACTTTCGGTGCCACTTACTTGGCGGCTCGCGGCTGCCTCCCCCTTCCGCGCTGGCGAGCCTCTGGGCGGGCGGCGGCTGCACTCCAGCTAGCGGGACTCCCTGCGCGGCAGACATGCCCAGGGCAGCGGAGCGGCTCCGGCTCAGGGTGCGCCACTGTAGGGGGCGGGGGCGGCGGGGAGCGCCCTGCTGGGAGCGGGCTGCGCGCTCCGCCTGCCCCAGCCGGTGCCAGGTCTGCAGCGAGCCCGGCAGCCCGCGTCCTTCCCTCCCCGCCGACCGACGACTTTCAATTCACCTGCAGGCGGGCCGGGCGGGAGCGGCGCGGAGCCCTCCCGGCAGGCGGCGCGGCGGGAGGGGCCGAGTGGCGAGCGCCCCGGCTGGAGGTAGCCCCAGCTGCCCCTCCTTCTTTCCCTCTCGCTTGCTGGGGCGCGCACTCCGCTCGCCCGGGCCGCTCCGCAGCTCTCCCCGGGACTGCAGTCATTGCGTCACCGCCATCCCCACCCTCACCGCGGGGGGAGCTGCCGCTGCGGGAGCCGGGGTGCTGGCTCGGGGGGGACTCCCGCTGGGGGAGCTGTGCCGGGGTAAAGGCTGGCGGGGGCCGCGGGCTCTGGCCTTGGTGTGGGGATGCCGAGCCCCCGTCAGGGGAGCGCTGCGTAGGGGGGCTGATGCCCCGTGCAGGACCCGCTTCGCGCGCGGGTGGGGAGCCGGGGCTCGTTCCCTCCGAGGTGCGTCTCGGGACGCGCAGCCGGCGCAAGGGGCTGCCCCCGGGTCAGCGGCTGCCCCCGAAATCTCAGGTGTGATGAGATCGTTCGCAGCCGCGGCGAGTACCCGGGGCCCTGCTCCGCGCTCTCAGACGCCGGGCTCTTGTTCAGCCCTCGCAGGATCGGCCCCCGCGGGGTCCTACCAGGTTCTCTGGGAACAGACAAAGCCCAGAACAGTTCAAACGTTTGGCTCCCACAGGGGCCGGGTGACCGGGGGCAGCCAGTAGCTCGTGGAAAATCTCCCAGCCGTGGAGCCGCTGACAGCACTAGCTTTCACCCTGAAAAGACAGTCTGAGCAGATACGTACTTTAAGGGGTAGAAGTTTAAAGGGCCGTAAAGAGGCTCGGCCTTCGCTTCCCGTTGTGAACAGATACAGAGGGGAGGGGGGGGCTTGTTTGGTCTGAGGTTTGTCTGTTTTGGGGAGAAGACAAACCTTCTCCTTCCTGCCCCCTCGCCGAGTGGCCACTGTTTGCATTTTCCATTCTGTTAACCTTCTCGTGTGACGCAGTGCACTGGGTTGGTTTGAGGGGTTTAGTGCATGTGCGTTTACATAGCTAAGAGTTCCTCTCGGAGATTCCTTCCAAAACAAAACCAAGCCCTTTCGGGATGCCCGCGCTGGGCAGTATTCGAAAGGCCTGACTGTGCTGATGTGGAAGGCACTTGGGCAATTAAAGTTGGCACTTGGCACTCCCCTTTTTTTCCCTTGTTGTTTCAGAACAGTCTTGTGATGCCACGTGCAGAGTCCTCGGAAGCTAAGTCACCCTGGCTGCAAAGGGCGAGGTGGCTAAGTGGGGAATGCAGGATCAGGTAATATCTCAGTTCCCATTTTTCTAACATTCTCGTCTTCTCTGCCTCTCATCTTTCAGTAGTTGCTGAACTTTGCCCTTCCTTATAGCCTGGGAACATGTGTTAATTCTGTGGGCAAGTTAATGATAGAAAGGTAAAGGAGGCTCATTTGAGTCCTAAAAATATGCAGCATCAGAGCAGAAGCAGCCTGTCAATTTCCTTCCTCAATTACAAGCTCTGCAGTCACCTAAAAGCCCCCCTGAATTTTCCTGAAAAAAGTTCTTGCTGGTTTCCTTGTGTGCTGCTGCTGCCTACCAATACTTTAATTGCCCCCACTGTTTTGTAAATCACTCAACTAATCTTTAAAATATAAAAAAATAATTTCTTAAATCTCATGTGAACTAAATAAAGCTACACTGAGTACTTCAGGCATGTCAGTTTTATGGCCTAGATCCCTCAAACAGTTAGACACATGTTTAATCTTAATTCCATTGGCAGTGTCTGCACTGGTAAATATATCATGTTAGAACACATTTTTTTTAACAGAAATATTAAATCATTTTTCATCTTTTGCAGATAGGCACAATTCTTGATCACCATGACAAGCTAACGTGTTTAAGTAAATCTGTCCCTGACTGCACTTTTGATAACATTTTTAAATATTACTGTCCTTGTCTACACTAAGGGCGGAATAGCATCACATTAATTTGAACCAGTTAGTTAATGTGGTTTCTTACAGGCTGTGGTTTCTTACAGGCTGTATTTTCCCAGTGTAGACATGGCCATTTTCTTCCATGGACCAACTCACAGAAGTAAAATGAAGCATATACATAAATGTTTGCAGGATTAAAAACCTCTACGAGTAAGTAAAGTTCTGAAAAACACCTTAAGCAGGAATCACACTAAACAAGGAGTGCTGGAATAGTATAGCATCCTGGATTAATTTTAACTGCATAATCCTATAGAAAATACTGCAAACATAAATTTGTTTACTCTGTTTTTTAAAAAATCCATGTTTACCCTTACCTGGAAAAACTGAATGTTAAGGGGTGAAGTAAATTCTCCCCATTACTTTTTGTTTTTTAAAAGCCCCTTGACATTGCCCATGGCCCACACAGTACCATATTGAATATAGATTTTTTCAAAACCAGCAATATCTCCTACAGGAGCTAAAAATTTTGTAAGTACTAATGGAGCTCTGAGGGATGAAGTGGCAGTGGTGGGTGGAGAGAAGACAGGAAATATTTAAAATCCCTAATATAAGAGTGGCAGGTTCTTTTAAAAATTTACAGACACAGCTCATGTTCTAAAATGTGGACAGCTAGAAACCTTGCCTTCCATTGTAATTGGCACCCTCTGTTCCCTACCAACAAATATCTCTCAACAGACTGGACACTCTAGCCTTTTATAATATGTAGCTAATTTGTTTATATAGTTTATGACTATGCCAAAAAAGTAAAATCTATGAAATTGAATAAATTATGTTTAAACAAGAGTTTAGAACTACACCAGAACATTGTTAATCTATATTTTGCTAAACTGCACATTTAATAATCCCCAAAAAATGTGATGTTTGCCCTCCACTCAGACATATCAGATATTTTAGGGACCAATCCCATTACGAGCAGTTCATTTTTGCAAAGTATGATACACTGCATTTAGTACTATGCCAAGAAGTATTCTATTATTTCTGCTATAGTAATGCCTAGAGAGTGAAACTGAGCTTGAGACTCCATTGTGCTGGCACTGTACATACACACAGTAAGAGAATTCCTGCCTGAAGAGCTAGACAGACAAAGAGTTAGAGGGGAAACAGAAGCACAGATAAGTGAAGTAACTTGTCCAAGGTCACACAGGTCAGTGGCAGAACCCAAGTCCCCTGACTCCCAGTGTAGAGCCCTATTAAATAGTCTGCAGGGTCTCTAAACACAAACCAACAAACAAAACAACAATTAAGAAAATTACATGTACAAAGTACAGTTTATGATGCAGTATTTCATTTTCTTAGTGCCTACATTTGTGATGTTTTACTCTCTTCTTGGGAGATGCTAAACATACTGAACTGCCACTGATGTTAATGGAATATGCAGGTGTTTGACATCTTGCATGATGGAGCCCAAATTCTGATCCCAATGGAGTTTTGCAAAGTACTTGTGTGGTACCTAGATTTGTCCCGTAGTTGCTGACTTGCAAAATTCATTAATTTACAATGAGCGTCCCAGACATTGGTACAAGTTAGTAAAACTGTACTGTAGATACTTATAAGAGGAATAATATTTGGATGACCAGAACCAGACAGGCCATTTAACTTAAAATAAAAATCTTTATATATATTTGTATAACTTGTACTCTGGAAGTGACAACAGCTGCACTAGTTATAAATGTTTAATTTGTGCTATAGTTCTTAATTTGAATTCACTTTAAATATAATTCTCAAGAGTATCTGTTTTGCTTTTGTTAAGTTTGTAATGCTTGCAGGGACATAGCTCCATTCAAATGAGCAGATGCGTCATGAGCAATCATTATACTGATGAAATTGGCCTACAGTGCAGAGCAGTTTTATCCCAATATCAAGATTGAGGTGAATCTGAACAGAGGTACCCTTGTAAGGTATTTTTACAATGAATAAAAACATGAAATATAAACAGTAAATTAAATGGAGACAAATGTCTTCTGTTTTCATATTTAAGAAGATACAGGGGGTTATGTATATATAAAAAATCTACATGTGGAAACAGCTGATGAGAAATGATTCCATCTTTTTTTTAAAATGATACAGGGTGTGGCTGAGACCAAGCCTGGAAGATTCTTCCTAGAAGGAAAGTAAGTGAGTGAGTGAAACCAGGACACTATAATGGAAACATCTTCTCAGATCTAAATACAGTGTTAGCTACCATAAAGACTTAATACTCTAGCAAAGAACTTCTGTAGCTACTCCCCAGCTGCTGAGTGACCTCTACTCCCATTGATTTCAGAGTCGAAGTCTCCTTGAACCTTACAGGAAGCGCTGTGTGTGTGTGGATCATCATGCAGGACCGGGGCATTGTAAATACACATACTTGCACCATCTTAGTTAAACCACTCCAAAATCATGTGCAGGCACTCATTTTAGTTTAGCTTAAATCTGTTCCTAATCATTTTAAGCTGAACCGAGTAAGTGTCCACCCAGCCTTTTGCCTTAACTAATCTGGTCAAAATAACCCCTTACATTAAAATGGTGCAATTCTATGTGTAGACAAGCTCTAAACTGGGACCTGCTCCTACTTCTATTGAAGTAAATGTCAAAGCTTCCAGTGAATTTACTGAAAGCAGGATTGGAGTCCTTGCAAAGGAGTTAAGCAATACTTCTGCTCTGTTGACATGGAATTCTTCAAAAGGAATCTTCTTCTTGAAAAGCATGTCTGTATTCGATACAGCCTTTGTTAGAGAAAGAAGCTCTATATAAACTTGTACATCTGTTATGGACAGCAAGATTCTATATTGATATATAGCTATTCTCAAGGAGAGCACAGTAAGCAATAAGTTAAGAGGATTGGATACCGGTACTCACCTAAAGATCAATGTTTTTAAAAATGCTTTTTAGATGTGATATGCCCCTACTTTTTGAGGTTTGTGCTACATTAAAATTTTCCATTTATGAACCATTTCTGATTCTCAATGATCAAATGTAGAAATGGAGGAAACTATTTAGATATACTGTCCATAAAACTTCTGTATCTGGACTGCTGATTTAATGGCTCTGCTTTTGCTTTAATTAAGTTTGCACTGCATTGGAAGCAACTTAAATCATTCAGCATTTGGAAGACATGCCCAAAGGAACCCTTTTGCACTGTGGGAGAAGAGGAAGTGATGGGGAGTGTAGATGAGTACTACCAAAAGTTAAACTTTCCACACTTTGACCATTTAAGAACAGTTTAGAAATAATATGATGGAAGACTCCCCTCACATAAGAACGGCCATACTGGGTCAGACCAAAGGTCCATCTAGCCCAGTATCCTGTCTTCCGACAGTGGCCAATGCCAGGCGCCCCAGAGGGAACAAACAGAACAGGTAATCATCAAGTGATCCATCCCCTGTCGCCCATTTGCAGCTTCTGGCAAAAAGCTGACTTTCCACCTCCTGCTGTCCCAAAGGATTTGCTGTTACAGTAATGCTATTTTTTGTGAATCAGGACCAGAACACACGTTTACTCTGTTTCTGCAATTGTGCAGTACTGATCGTTCTGTGCAATGAAGAATTTGTAAGTCACCTGAATTGATTAAGTATAGTATTGCACTGCTGCAGAATTACTTAGCAAAGGCACTGTTCCCAGAAAGCACCATTTACAGCAACGCGGAGCCACTGCAACAGAACAAAAACCCTGTGGAGGTCAGGGAGCTTGGAATTCAGACTCTGAGCCAAATTTATCCCCTGGTGTAAGTCATCCTAGTTTTGCAGTCAATGGAAAATTAGTTTAGCGCTCAAAGTTTTCTCTGGTCGTAGACATTTTGGGAGGCAGAGAGGGGGATGTTTTGTTTCTTCCTTTTGAATTTCTCCCATAGATATATCCTTTTGTATTTTGTTGGACTTAACTTCAGATCTCCACAGTGAGGAAAAATTGCAGAAAAACTGTCCTTCAGTAATTCCGCAATTAATGTCTGCAGTGGAGGGAGAAGAAAGGAGTACTGCAACAAACTACAGTTCATCCTAGCAACAGTCTCTCTCCTTTCAGAACACAACCCTTCACTAAAACTACTATCAGAGGAAAATAATGTAATTAAAAATGGCATATATGTAAATATTTATCTCGGGTTTATAATATCCCCCATCATCATAGTATCTAATCTCTGATGGAAATAATACCATAAGAATGCAAAATTCTCTCTATAATAAATGTAAAGGAAAACTGTCACAAATTAAGAATAACACATTTCTTTACATGTATAACACCACGGATTATTAAAACTGAAATAATTTAAAAAATAATCCAACTTCAGAGTTTATGGTATTTATCTTTTTCTGTTTTACCATGGTTGGACAAGAAAATTAGTGATCTGTTAAGGGTGACCTATAAAGGGAACTAAAATAGATTTGTGTTTTGCTTCATTAGGATTTAAAGAAGAACTGGGAGGTTTTTCTGCCTTTTATAAACTTTAGGAATACCATGAATGTTGTCTCTTTTCTTTCCTGGCTTTATAGAGGTCTCCTTTAAGGATCCAGAGACGTGGATTGGGAACTTTCCTTGCTCCAATTGATAGGAGGGGAACAAAAATTCTTTTTCTAACTGTTTGGCAAAACCAATTTTAGATAGTCTGAAAAAAATTACTTTCCCTTTCAATCCAGTTTCAGTTTATACCTATAATGTAATTCATTTATACCTGTAATGCAACTGGATTAATGAAAAACCCAAGCAGATTGTTATTGCATTACAGTAATGTTAATTCTGCCAAGTACTGCATATAGAAAAGCCAATTCCTTCCCCAAAGAGGTCATTTCACCTTATTTACAGTTTAACTTTCTGGTTCTCACACACGGTCAACTCACTGTTGGAGTGGCTGGGTTTTCATCTGCAAGATAGCCTTGACGCTTTAAAAATGTTTTGGTTTTGAATTATGAAAATTCTTAATTTTTTTTTTTTACACAAGACTAATATTTTTGGTCTGAACTACCATACTTCACAATAAGAGACAAGATGGGTGAGGGGTAATATCTTTTATTGGGCCAACTTCTATTGGTGAACGAGACCAGCTTTTGGGTTACACAGAGCTCTTCTTCAGGTCCACGAGGCTCTAAAGTTTCTCTCATTGTACCAACTTCTGGTGGTGAAAAATATATTGCCTTTTGCCCACCTTGTTGCTCTAATATGCTGGTATCAACACAGCTATGACACTGCAAACATACTTCACAATGTCCATTTAATTATTGCTGAAAGCGTAGAAAGCCAAAGCTTTTTGTTACCCTTTAGGGTGGAAAATGGAAATGGTTTAGCTTGCCAGTTAATTCTGAAATGGAATCACTAACCCAATATCCTGAAATTCTGTTCCAAGCTCAATTTAAATAAGACTACCATTGTCTACAAAAAAAGTGGAATTAAGTCCATAATGTATAACTGAAATGGGAAGAGTAGCAAGAGGACTTCTTTAGTCAATCAGATTTATTTAGCAAGCCATTTAAAGATTGCAGTTATCACCTACTCTTTAGGGGCAACTTGATGCCATATCCTTGTCTATACAGTACTACTAAAAATACCCATTGCTGTCAATGTGCATAAGTGAGCCAATGCTGAACGTTATTTAACAGCAGCTGTAGGCCAAATAGCATTCTGTAATGTGGACAAGGTGACAGAAAAAGAGGAAAGTGTTTGTTTTCTAATATAACTTGCCCAGAAACGGAGAATGGCTGAACAGCCATGTAAGACGGGCTCAAGAAGAACAATACAAAATAGAGCATCTTTTCCCACCACCCACACACAAATACTACTCAGTACTTCACAGTGATCTCTCTCAGTCATCGTGCTACCAGATTTCTTGAAGGAACAGTGGCCAAACGTGGATGGTGACAGCTAGGAACCTAAATCCACATTTATGTGCCTGTTTTTAAAAAGGCCTGATTTTCAGAGGTGCAGCACACAGCTACAGACATACTCTTAAGGCAATGAGAGCTGCAAGTGCTCTGGAATTTTTTTTTTTAAGTCAGACGACAGGTTTGTTTTAGGTGCCTAAATATGGATTTAGGTATCTAACTTCAACAATCCAGTTTTAAAAATTGTAATTCAGAGTTAATATTGTGAAACCAAGGGCCCATTTTATAAGTCTTGAAAGTAAGTTACATGCCTGCTGCATTCGTTGAAATCCATTAATGCGAATGGACAAGTTATACAAGGAAAAGCTAAGCTTTGCTGGGACCTCTCAAAGTGTTTAAGAGCCCTTCTGTGTGCTGTGGAGATGTTTGTGAACCTCTGACTTAGTATTTCAGATCCCAAGTCTCAAAGTTTACGATTAAAATAATAGATACAAATTTTATTGTCCCATCCCTACAGTGAGAAATAAAATGCAACGTACATCTTCCTTTTACCTCAAGTAACCTCTCTGCATCACCCACAGAATGAATTTGCCCTTAGTGCCAAGCACTAATTTCTCTAATCCAAAACTAAACTACAAGGGAGAATCTCTCCAAAAAGGATGCAGACAATTCAGTTCAATTCAGTTCAGGTGAACAGCGATTAGTCCACAGATTTGTTGTATTTTCCTGGACTGATGCACAAATGCCTTCCTTCCTTTCCATCCCCTCTCCTCCTCCCCACCCCAAACAGTGGTTATGAAAGTCAATGTAATTCAACCATCACATAAGGTACTTTTAAAAGATGATTTGCCAATTCAAACTAAATATGTTAAATAGTGACTTAAGGACTTTATTAAAGTGTTCAACTACTAATTCCTCTATCTTCAAATCACTCATCGCCCACAAACCAGTGTCCTATTTTGAAACTAGTGGATTCTACATACTTTGCTATCCTAGACAAATTGGAAGATGTCTGTTCCTTGTAGCCCCTGAGTTAAGCAAACTATGGCTTATGAAACTGGATATTCCCCCCAGATAATTTTTTGTTTTATTTTTAATCTAGTATAGCCCCTTAATAGTTTAATGTAGCTGCCCCAGAATTAAAATATTCCACTGTCGGTATAAGCAGTCACTAAATATTTTGCTGTCCCTAATATTTTGTTGCTGTAGATGACTGCCTGCTTTCCCTTTATGGAAAAGGCTCCTTACATGGTATCATGACATGGACATGATAAATTATCACCCCAAACAGCTGAAGCAGTGCAAGAATTTATTTGGAGGCATGTTTAATTTTATATAATTTAGTACCTGTGAAAGGTGCCAGATTTTCAGTGTCCAGAGCTGTCACTTTCCATCCACAGAAGAGATACTGCACATTTGGAGCAATAAGAGCTCCCCAAATATGGCCCAGTGAGTGCCTCAGCCCTGACCTGGAGAGGTTACATTTAGGACTGATAACATAGTCCAGTTACCATGACTACTGAATGCTTCATCTGTCTAATAGTGCCAAGTACACCAATTAGTTCTTGTAAAAATAGTGATTTTTTTTTTGTAGTGTGGACAACTTTCCGGAGATTTTAAGGCTAGAAGGTATCATTAATGATCACCTACTCTGACCTCCTGCATAATCCAGAGCACCTCACCCAATAATTCCTGCATAAAGCCCATAACTTCTGATTGAGCTAGAGCAGAATGCACTGAGATCAACTCATATCATAAAGACCACTGAATGACCATCAGAGAATAATGTATTTGTGAATCTACTCCAGGTCAGTAATAACAATGGTGACCTAGATATGTAATAATCCATATTCATTTCCAATCCCCAGGTCTGTTTCAGAACCTTCAGAGGCAAGTTTTAGATTATATATGTGAACCACTAGCATTTCCATTCTAAGGATTCGTACGAACATCAACGGATTCAGTAGGTGATCAAGCAGAAGCAAATTCTGGCCTTGTCTACTCCAGCCGCTTTCGGAAAACCTCCCATTACTTCACCTCCCTGATGGTACCAATGGCAGTAGCACTAATGTTTTTAACCACTGTTACATAAACCTGGCACCTAGACAGTGTGGTAAAAACACTGGTACCCAGAGAACGCTAACTCTCCAACTGTTGCTATGATCAATGCAGCTGCACCAGTGCTAGTGAAATGGTGGTAGACTTCCCAAAGAAGGATAGTGCAGACCAAGCCTTTGCAAACAGTCAGGGCATTCTTTTGCAGAGGAGCAATTTGAGCTGGAAAATCTAGAGAGGAAAATAAAAGCATTTGAAAAAGTAAACATTATTTTGATAACTATTATAATTTTGATAAATATTTTGGTAAATATTATATCTTAATATTATAGTAAATATATTAGCATTGTCATTCCTGTATCTTGTTAGCATAAAGGCTTTTTAAAAGCACCTTTTATCTGCTAAGTCTGTACAATTATTGGAATATGCCAGAACTCTATGAAAGAATATTGCATACACAGTAATAAGAATAACTATTACAAAATATGCTAAGAGTATTTCATTATGGGCAGAGGAAAGAATTCTTTAAAAAACTCCCACATTTTCCATTGTAATATACATTTGAGTCAGAGTGTAAAATATTCTCCATTATACACTGGTTTTAGGTTCTCTGAATTGGTTACGTCTGTAGTGTACTCCTCCAAGGATTCCAGCTGTCTGGCTGCCTACAGAGGAAAAACTGAGCTTGAAGAGTAGAAAAAGAAAAAGAAAAAAAATACTAAAATTGCCTGTTTTGCTTGAAGTTTATAGTCAGGATAAACTATTTTGGTTGTGCCCAAGGCCTGCAAATAACAAAGTAAAGAGCACAATACAGAACAGAATATACCAGCAAGTACATAGCATTGTCGAAGTTCTCTTGTGCACTGGATAGAAATTCATTGTTTACATACATCAATCATGATTTGCCACAGGGTATTTCTTGAGTTACTACATATCTTTAATACAAAGGAAAAGAGAGGAAAAGAAAACCGCTATTTCTATCTGCTTATTTCTGTTTTGTTGGTTTATGACCTTTTTAAAACTAAGAATAGAGTTCAACTTGCAAAGCTTAAGTAAAGTGAACTGATTACAAACTCGCCTCCCGTTATCCAAAGTAGGGTGCTTTTAAGGTTCTCTGGACATTCTCAAATCTCATTAGCATACCACAAATTCAATGATATAGCCAAATATCCTTAAGGGAATACCAATCATCATTTAAACTCCCCATTCCTTTAGAATTTTGCCATCTATTAAATGTCCAAAATCCACTGTAGTGGCGATTTCTCAGCATTATCCCTCCTGGCACTGAAAAAAAAAAAATCAACCCACATAATACTGCATGAAATGAGATTCTTAAAAAAACAAACCAAGCTGTTCACACACTCTGGTCCCAGCCTATACCTATTCTGCGTGTAGAGCTCTCACTGAGT